CCATAATAATAATAACAATAACGAAGTCGCAGGTCCAAAAATAATCAAGAGCTCACGGGCCCATAAGAACAATAATAATAACGGACTCGCAGGTCCAAAACAATTAAGAGCTCGCAGGCCCATACAACGACAAGAATTAAATAAACTATTCAACACATCTATATGGTCGAGTCCATAATCATCCATTTATAACATTCATCACATAAATGTTTCCTATATAATATCTAATATTATATGCAATGTCTCAAGAATCTAGTAATTATAGTCGTCAAAACTTATTTAAATAAATGGATCGAAATAATTAAATAATTAATTAATCATATTAATTAATTAACTTAATTGGCAGACCTATTTAATTAAAATCAAATTTTAATTAAATCCCGAATTAGAGTCCAACTCTAATTCCATAATTATTGGGCGAAATCATTTAATTAAAATATAATTTTAATTAAATATTAAATTATACTCCAACTCTAATTCTTTAAAATTTTAGGGAGGGATAATTTAATTAAAATTAAATTTTAATTTATTATAAATTAGAACCATTTTCTAATTTTAATATATACTGGGAAATAATATTAATTAAAATCAAATTTTAATTAACATCAGATTAGAGTACAACTCTAATTAAAATAGAATTAATGTTTTAATTTAGGACTAAATTCCTAAATAAAAAAAATTCAATTTAGGGTCAAAATTAAATGTTTAAGTTAAAATCTAATTTTAACAATGTATAAAAATCGTCAATTTTAAATAAAATTTCAATTTTGGGCCAAATTAAGAATATGGGTCAAACCAAATTAAAACACAAATTTAAAGCACCTTTTGAATTTACAAATTGACCCAATAAAGAAATTAAAACCAAGTCCCTCAAATACGAAAATTGCATGACAAGCCCTTAATTTAAAATTGCAAATTTTGACCCTAGAGAATTAATTGCAAGCAGGGGCTCGATATTTCACAAATTGCACAAGAACCCCCCACCTCCAAATCTTTCACTTGTTTGCAAAAACCCTAATTTTATTTTTTATTTTATTTTATTTTATTTTTTTTGTTTTAACTTCCTCTTCCGACGCCACTAGCCTAGCAACGGCAAGAGCTCGCCACCTACAACTTTCAGCAGACGACGCTACTGGCAGGGACCCCATCCCACCTAATCCATTTATTTTATTTTTATTTTTCAAACTAATTTTGAAGATAAAATAAATTTTACAATTACTAGATTCAAGAACATGATGAAAAATCAATTTTTGATTTCATAAACATGTAAATCAATTCCTAACAAACACAGAGTTGGCTCATATACCACTATTGGGAATTTACTTATCATGCACAATGAAAACAAAACGAATTTCAATTCCCACCAGGATTTATCTTTGTATTTAGATAGGAATTGTGATAAAAGTTGCACCTTTTCTTAGATCTGCAAACTCATTTGCTTTATTTTTGTTCCAGCAACTTGGATCTACCCCCCTCCCCCACAGTTGTCCAATTATCTAGCCTCCAATGAATTTCACACAGAAAACATATTGCAGCCACCAGGGTTTTCTCCTCTTGTACTAACAAGAATTATGAGAAATCTCTACGAATATAAAACTCTAGCAATGTATTTATATAAGTCCAAACGGGTTTGGCCCAACCCAATCCAATATTTAATTAATCCATTTAATAAAATCCAATTCGTGAATTAGTTAATCCAATTAATTAATTCGGACCTATAAATAACCAACCAAATTAATTAATTTAACCAACAATTGTTAAATTAAATAATTGACAAATTACAATCTTCAAATTCTCTTTTGTGTGCGACCCATCAAGTTCCCGATGACGATGCCTAACGACGTGAAATATTATTTTAATATAATCAAAATTGATAAATTAAAACACCATTTTAATTTATCACCAATTCACACTCGCCGTCCTATATTGACATCTAGCAATTTGTCGGGACAATACATGTGACGAAAAATGTCACGTGGTATGATAAAATCAAATTTGTTCGTTTACCATGAAACTATAATCCGTTCATCAATATGATTCGATTAACTACGAGATATGAAAGTGTGTCAATTTCGATTATCAATCATATCTTTCATTCTACTATTAAATCAATATGAGTCGAAAACTCATTTTTGACTTATAAGTATACCTTGGCCAAGGATTTCGTTATCGACTTAATTGAACGAAATGCATATCATAATCTCTTACTATCTAAGAGTGACGAATCCTCTATTGGTCATTTACAACCTTCATATGGTTCTTGACATACCCAAATGATGTCGTATTAGCAGCCCTTAGAGAGTAACATCCAACACCATCAAAGCATGACTGTCTTCATATAAGGCACTATGACGACCTCAAGTCAAAGGACCAATTCCACTACCGAACGTTAGAGATCAATCACTGACACTCAGATAGTTATCCATGTGAAATCTCTTAGCGGGTCTCCAATGTTTCATTCTATAACAAAACATCCACGCATTCATGTAAGTGTCACCACACTTTAACTTGTGAGATCAACTACTTATTTCACAAGTTAAAAATGTCACACGTGATAGTCTATCCATAATAACGATATCCGTATCTCGTTATTACTTACAACCATGGATTATTCAAGATCCAATCATATGTAATTTGTATCTCACAATCACAACTCCTTGTAATTAACAAATTACTTAAACTTGAATCTTCGGACTCTATTATTTAATATTATTTATCAGAATATTAATTTGAATAAATAATAGATCTTGCCAAAAATAAATGCATTAATCATATTAAAAGTGTTTACTACCTAAATCGATTGGATATAGGGCATAATATTTAAAACTTGAGTATTTGATATTGTGTTAATTGTGTTTCCATTAATTGGTCAATTTTAGGTTGACAAAGGGACTAGGAGAGGGGGATTAGCTTGGAGCTACACGTTAGCACTTTACATCCTGACTTTTCCGGCATAAGAGGTCTTGTCTTTAAGAATTAGTTTGAGTCAGAGAGGTAAAATGCATATTTAGCTCCCTTAATAAATAACATAGATTTCAATAATGAATACAAAATAAATCGTCATTGTTTATAGTGACAAGTGTATTGTGTACACTTATTTTGGACATTTAAGTTAATGTAATTATTGACTATTTTGATGAATTATGGCTTAATTCTATGTTTACTATATTTGTTAGGTAAAAATCAACATAAATAATAGAATTGGAGAAAATGTGTGAAAATGGCTCAATTATAAGAGATCCAAAGTTCAAGGACTAAAGTGTAAATATTCAAAAGTTATGTCGAACATCACGAGGAAGATTTGAAAGCTATATGGATCAATTGGATAAGAAAAAGGGTATAACGGATGAATTATAGTATCAATATTCTCACATATCAATTTCTGACAGAAGAAGTTATGTTTCGGACTTTCAATCTCATATTGAGACTCATTTGTGGCATAGTAGACATTTGAATGAGAAAATTAATATTCTAAAATAATTGTAGCCATTTGAGTTAATTTTTCAATGTACTTTGAATCGCCTCGTATTAAGACTCGTTTTTGGCATAGTAAACGTTTGAATTGAAAAAAAATATATATATATATATATAGCTATGTGAATTAGCTTTTCAATACACTTTGAATTGCCTCAATCGAATACCAAGAGAGTAAGATATGATAAAAATACTAATGACTCCTTGAGAAATAACTAGGTATGGGCCTAGTACAAATTTCCAAGCTCGTGCCTACGCACCTTATGCAAGTGACTGAACCTAAATTCAGTCTTAGAGGTGCGCACATCATGCCATACTAGGTGCGCAACTTGAAGAAATCGTGGAAGCTAATTTTGTTTCCTTTTCTTGATTCAACAAGTTTTAGAATTATATCTTTGGCGTCTTTTATAAATAACCTAAGGGATGTCCAGAACGTGAAAACATTGGTTTTATCATGGAAGAGGAGGCAAAAACACGGCGAAAAAGAGTTTTACAACAAGAATTGAAGATTCAAAGCTCGGATAAAAGTCAATTGTTGAAGAAATTGAGTTTTCAAGATCTTTTTCTAGTAATTTTATATAGATGGTGTATTTTCAATATATTTTGTGTAATTTGAAAATCATAATGCTAGGCTCAATATTTTTTGTATTGGATGAATGATGAAATCATTGGTCTTTTTTTTTTTATTTAAATATTAAGTATTTTAGCGAATTCTTGTGTTTTGTGATTAATTATGTGCATTATTATTACTTATTTGATTGCTTAAATACCAATTAGATAACATGTTGTTATTGTAGTGTTGAAAGACTCACAATACGTTAGAATATTGCATAATTGACACACGGCAATAAGTGTCAAGAATAGCATTTGTGGCTTGTACAATCTTGTGTGATAATCGCGTGGTTAAATACATTTCTTTGCATATGAATTTGATCCATTAACATTGTCCAGTCATGCTTAGGTGATATTGGGTTTATCTTCAAAAATAAGATTAAACAACATAAAATTATCGATAGTTACAAAAACTTAAACAACACTAAACTACGTAATTTGAGAATTAAAAACAGATGCTAATAGGTGGATTCTAAAATCCAATACATTCACTTCGTCACTTGACAAAAACAACTCATTTACATAATTATTAGGTCAAGTTAGAATAATAACAAAAATCATCTCCTTTGTGTTGCTATATCGAATTTGATAAAAATTGGTAAACTATAGTTAACAATTATTGCTCATGGGATAAACTCAACTTATAACAATATTACTTGTCAACAATCCGGTATACTTGTGAATTTTATCCGAACATATACAATCACGAATAATTTGGTTGAAATTAATGTATTATTTTGTATTCATTAATGCTCATATAGATTTAAGTAATTCATACATCATAATATGTATAACCTCACTTGAAAGAGATTGTCGAAAATTGAACATTTATCACACAAGCAAATATATTCTATAACTATTAACTAGATTAAGAAGCAAAAGTAGATAATTAAGTGGAGTCGAAATCCTAGTACTTCATTACATTCAAGTTCCCAAAATTAATTTAGCAAAATTTAATTGCTTTCGTTCAAATAATTTCTAAAACGACCAAATCAATTTGTGCGTTTTCTTTACAATTGGATTAACTAGTATTAACTCATTTGAGCATAAATTCGCCAATCCTCGTAGGGTCAACAGCCCTCATCACTATATTTTTGTACATGATTCGTGCACTTATGATGATATTGTGTCATACAGATAGCTATGAAGTCATGTTCTTGTGATATTGTGTTGTTCTAATGAACAGATTTCTCTATCAGCTTTGAAAGATCCGCAATTTCTCGTCAATGACGTAGAGTAATCTTATTTCGTATAAATTATATCAGTCAATAATGGGTCAAACCTGTGCACTAAATGTTGGTGAATTTGATGTTCTGGTGGCGCTTTAGAATAAGAGCATAGAGTAGCTCATTCCAAGTATCAGGAACTCCGGGGAGACACCAGTGACTACAATCCTGCTTATAGAGAGACGACGGACCTATTCTTGGACCCAAATAATACATAGAGGAATGCCCATCCTTTCTTCTTGATGACATATGAGTTACATTTAACAAGTCAAATGCTCTCAAATCTGAAATGCTTGAGTATTTTGATATGACTTCGGAAAATATGCTATAGCGAGCCCAAGTGTCAGATGTCACCAATGAAGAACCAAGCTCCGGAAGTGTCTCCAAATGACATGTTCCCCCAGATTTCGAATCGTCAACCCTAAAAAAAGTCATATACATTTTGTTTATTGAAATAAATCACAAGCATTTCAATCGAATGCAACAATTTCATAGATTTTGGGGGTGGGGTGGGGTGGGCGTGGGGGAGGAAGGGAGGCAATGCCATGTACCAGCATATTAGACTGTTAAAGGTGACTTACACTACAGAAAAGAAATGTAATCTGAGTGAAAAAATACTGCCGTGCACAAACTAGTGTTCTGGTTGACACGAGTACGGAAGGGAAAGGGAGAATAACGTAGACAACGACACTAGATAATATAAACAATATAACCAAACATTTAGGTAATTGGTGCAAAATCCATGAATACCCAATGACCTGAGTAACTGATGTTAAGAACTCCAAGTTAATAATTCCCAAGCCACGCTCAATTTGAATATTTTACATACGGTTTCAAGACAACATTTTATGCGACTATCCAAAGGCCAAGTATTTCCCAACTCTTTTTCCTTGAAATTTACAAATGATATTAATATTTTATCATTTAGATTATTACGTAAAATAGAATCTATAGAAAAACCCCAAAAATAAGTCCAAATGAAGATAAATGTAAAACAAGCCAAAAGATTAAAGGGTCTAGACCTGAAATGTACAGGAGAATATGTTCTAAAGAAGACTTGTGTCTTGTTTATATTCAGTTCACGGTGTATCCACTTCAACACTGTTTCTAAAGACTTCCGATATGCATCTTCAACTCTCATTTCCATCTTTACCTCTGATCCCTCTTGGAAGAAACAACCCCTAACAATTCATTATAACACTAAGGTCAGAATATATAATGGTACACATGAAATCATGGACACATAGCAACAATTTTCCCTGCGGCAAGAAACATTCTCACTGATAAAATAGTTCATGTTACATGCCAGTTTCATATTAAGGATTCAATTTTCTAAATGAGTCCATGATGTTCATTAGTTGCGTGCAAGTAGTCAAGTACTATGATTTTCACCATGACCAATTAATATACATGCAACTTCCACAGTATCAGACTCTGTAGAGCATACTTTGCTAAGCTTTAAAAAAAGAAAAAAATAAAAATAAAAAGAGAGAGAGAGAGAGAGATTAAAATAAGTTTTTCTTTCCAAACACGTCTAACCAACTTCAATTTTTTCAAGTTATTGAGTAAAAAAGTAACTTAAAACACATAATTTAGTGGCAACATAACATTCTTATTTCTAAGTTTCTATGATAAACGATTTATTTATTTTAAAATTAACTTATTTACTTTACAAAAAAATCTATTTATGATCTTAAGAGTAAACCTTATAAGCTTAGCCAAACATCTTCCAATAACATATCCATGGTTCAAGAGGAAATATAGGAGCTAAGAAGTACGGATATATGTAAATTTATTGCATACCTTGTATACGATACGTACCCAAGGTTGAATACGCTTGGACGCTATACGATATGTACCGAATAAGTATTTTTTTAATTTTCTTATATTTTTTATATTTTTAAAATTTTCAATATTATCGAAAACCTTAGGACACTTGAGAAGAAGAGTTTTTTGGGTTATAATCTTTTTTAAAACTCCTTATATTATTATTTGCAATGGAGAACAGTTTTTTACTTCATGGATAACTATTGTTATTACGAATAAATTAATAAAAATAGATAATACTTATTAATTAACAAGTAGCACCTACTGTTTTGTGCATTCTATGAGAAGGAATAAAATAACTTCACAATGAACACGTGAATTGATTTAAATTCATAGCAATTTGTGGCTTTTCAAGAAAATTAAATATTTATTCAAAGGAGAATCCAAAATGTGGGACATTAACGGAATTTATTTGAATTCTTGAAGCTATTGAGCTGCTTGAGTTGCTAATTAATCATTAGATGAACCAGAGCATTATTTTTTATGATTATGAAGAAACTAATAGTGGTAATGTTGAAGAAAATTAAGTTGGGGCAATTAAGGATTAGGATAAAATGCTTCAGTATTTTATTTTATTTTCACTCATTTTTTTTAATACACACACACACGTATACGTATACCTATCCGCGTATCCTAAGTTTTGTTAAGAAGTTGTATCAATTTACTCCTATCGTATCCTATTAGAATTACGTATCCATGCATTTTAGAACAGCGTACCTGGAAAAGAAAAAAAGACTTTAAATAAAATTACCCTCTTATAGTCTTCTCTTGATTCCACCAATGTCCAGTGTTGAAAACAAGCACATCTGCATCTTTCCATTTGGAAGAACTCCAATCCATTTGATCTAGTTTCAGAGTAGTTTTAATCTCTGCTGGAACACCGGCAGGAGGCCGACTTTGCAGTACAAGAAATGGAGACCTGTAGTATTCTACGGTGAAATTGTACTCTATAAATTTGAATATCAAGAAGCCTTTATGTTTGGTAATGGGACTGCCATTCACTTCGTATATCAAGTCCTTATTGGAAACTGCTGAAGAAAGCATACAGAGGAGGGACTCCCATTGATTTCTTCCTATCGAGTCTCCCACAAACACAAGACGTTTATTTCGAAGTTTCTTTAGCATAATCTGCGCATCAAATCTATTTTATAGGTGCAGAGAAAATATATCAGTGTCATTTACTTCTCGGGTCAAACTAGATTAAAAACTTCTCTTTCAGTAAAAGAGTACCAGAAAGAAAAAACAAATGCAAATGAAAGGATAAACTCTACTACACTAAAATACATTCCAAATGAAGAAATTGCTACTCAAATTATCTAAATTTCCATCAAATCAAATCCAAAGAACTTCATATTCATAAGCAAAGGCAGAACCAAAAGAAAAAAAGGGAACGAGGAATAATTAAGAATACTTGAGACAAACAGCTCGATCTTAGCTACTACAAGTTAACATTAGAAACAGAACAAAATGTACGTGGACTAGCATCACAATAAAACATAAATTCCCATTCTCGCAACATATTACATTTCTAAATTATGTAGAATTTGCTCATAAATCATAATCATTCTTCATTGCAAAGATAAATAGCATCCACAACTAGATTGATAGAGAAAACTAAAAGCCAGTTAATACTAGAAACATCGAGCTTAATTCCAACCACCAAATGCTTTCTTTTGCCACACAAAATAAACCAACAAAAAGTTTAGATGAGATGGTTCCTCCTTAAAGCTTTATCAAGTATTAATCGAGGTGTAAGTAACAACCCAAAATCTTGTCTGCCATGTTTGGTAACCAAAAATACAAAAATCCCACTTGAAAAAATGGAAAATTAATGGGAAAAATACCTTGGCAAGTTGCAATTTTTGGGTTGCCATCTCCATTTGGTGTAGAAGAAATCGGGCCTCCCATTCTCTGTACACTTAAAGCCTTCATCCAATAACCTGCAATCTTTAGATTGGTATAAAGGATAAGTGGCATCCCACACCCAATCACCCTCAAACATATCACACACATCATTATTTCCAGGCAAAATATCAGCCTTTTTTCTACTCTGTTTTTCATACCCACCATCAAATCTTAACCACGGAAACCTATCATTTTGAATCGAAAATCTCAGCCCTTTAGGCTCACTTCTATAATCAAATAAAAATAAGCAAAAAATAATAATACAAACAGAGACAAAAAAGAATCCAAGAACCCCTATGGCGGGCTCAAATAGCCTTAAACGCTTCATTTTCTTGAAAACTTCCATAAAGGACATAGCTTCAGTGTGTTCCATTAAGGACATTTTTTAAGTAGACAAATTGGAGTGACTGTTAGGGGAAAAAACAGAGTCAAGAGTTGTGTTGGGCAAGCAAGAAAAACAACTGAAATCGTCATGGCAAGTTTGGTCTTTTGTTTTTCACAACTTTGCCTTGGAAGAGTAATGGCTGGCTATTGACCATAAGTACTGTTTTTGCAGGATCTGTTAGAAAAGAGAGAGAAGGGTGTCTTAAAAGCAAGGTACCAGTTACATATGACAGAACCAGAGAGAGAGAGGCTGTGCGTGTGGGTAAATAGAGCGATTGGATCGTGGGAGTGGGAGTGCTAATAGGCGCGAGCATTAAGCTCACGTTTGTATTGCCGAAAAATTCTTATTAAAATTTAAGTTAAAATAATTAATTATTTTTAATTAGATATTTTATAAGATTCACAACTTTTCAATCACGCATTTGATCAACTTATTACCTACTAAAAATCTAATTTTAACCTTTACCAAATAGTGGCTGAATTTTCAAATGTAGCATTTGTTTGTTTCTATTTTTTTATAAATTACTTATTAGAAAAATCATAGTCTACGTATTCACAATTAGAAGTCACTTATTATTTATAGGAAAATGCTCCACTACGATTGGTAGAGGCCTCTTTTCCTATTTTCTCTCACCTCGGCGGGTCCCATTATTAAAAAAATACCCCCCAAAAACTCACTACCACCTCGATTTGTGAGAGGGGCTGCTCTAAGAGGTTTGGTAATGTAGCATGGTCCTTATTTATATATTTTTCTGTATCTCTCTACTTTTTTACATTATAAAAAAGAATACAAGTGACTAAAGAAATCAAAACACCAGCGTAGAAAGCATCCGTGAATGTTAATTATAGGTGGTCTAAGTCAAAGTCGTGGTTATTAAATTTAGACAGGACCGGGCATACTTTGATTAAGCTTTCTGTATCGAAACAATGAAAATTCTTGCAAAAACTCCGAAGGTGAATCAAAGAGCAAGACGCATCCCTTGTTTGTCGTGGGAGGCTCAACCTCCCTTACTGCTTGTCCCTAATACCCTTCGGCACCTTCGCTTTTAGGAGTTTTATTCAAACAAAGTCATATGGGGATGGCTCCCTTGTTGATCCCGTAATGGACCAGGATCGTGGGAGTCCGATGCTAATACTTCAGTAGACTAAATTTCAAATTATGTTAGTTACAATTATTCGTAGTCATGGTAAGTATTAGTCCCTATTTGACAACCATTACAACAATTTTTTGTTTTTTTGTCAAACTTATTTTCAACTAAATATTCTCACAATAAAATATTTTGTACGTAAATTCAAAAAAAAAAAAAATTCACACTTTTAACTCACATTTTTCAAAAAATCACTAATCCAAAACTCATTTTATCAAAAACAAAAAATAAAAAAAAATAAAAAATAAAAATAAAAAACTCATTTTATTGATTGTCAAACAAGGGCTTAAATTTAAATTGGATCGAGTATACTTCTATTAGACTTCCTCTAACGGACTTTAGTATCATTTCTTGCTTGCTCAAAACATAACAAAAGTTCCTGCAGGTACTCGGGGTAAATCAAACAGCATGAAGATCATGGGAGGCTCAACCTCCCATATTGCATGGCCCCAACACCCATTTGTAGCGACGGAGCTAGAATGTTTTTGTTTGAGAGGCCCACCAATAGTCGATCTTGTTAAGATAATTGATGGTCAGTGATAACTAACAGAGAGAGCAATATTTAAAGTAAACAATAAATCTACTGGAATTGAAAATGAGTAAAATGTTTATTTTTGAAATCTTAGATTCTGTGCAAAGTATATCGTCTTGCAAAACTTAATCGTCCAAAAATGGCTCTTGCATACATGTGAGAAAACTATAATGCTAATGTTAATGAAATATGTAAAAAGGGGTGAAATGAACACAACACTTACAAATGGGGATTGAAGCACCAAAGATTGGGGACTAATCGCACAAATTTTTCAAATTAAAAATTGTGAAAAAGGATAGAGTCTAGGGAAAGGAAGGGAAAAATTATCAAATAATGCTATTGATATTGTCGACATTAATTGAACTTATTCAAATTGTGGGATAAAATTTTTAGAGTGCAACAGAGAAAACAAGATTCAATACCACCCCAATATCGAGGGTTTTTGGTTTCTTATGGCATTGTCAACAGATGCAATTCATACAACATATATTTAATTATTTATGTCATAATTTGGTAAATATTATTTTATTATCTATTCATTTGCATTGTTTAAAGAGGATTGGAGAATATATTTTTATTACATTTCTTCTTGGATTGAACTATGAACTCTTTGTTGGTCGAGAAATAGTGATTATATGTATAAGAGAAGACAAATTTATTTATAAAATAATGTATCGCCGACCACAATATAATATTAAATGAATAAAGAATGAATTATATTATCTTTATCAACGTTAACATTTTTTTGTTTCATAGCGCTGATATCAGCTTCAATTGATAATTTATCAAATTACTTGTGCAAATTTCGCATCCCAAGTAAACCATGCTTCAATTTTGTCACTAAGGGTCCGTTTGATTGTAAAAATATAATTGAATTGAATTGAAAATAAATTTTAGGGAATTAAATTGCCTAGAAATTAATTTTCTGGACTTGTAAATTATTGTGTTTGATTGGTATAATTTTTCACGTAAAAAATGTTAAAATAAAAGTATTTTTGTGTTCGTTTGGCTTTATTTTATATGAAAATTATTAATTAAAGTGATAAATTTTACTGGTATTGGGAATGAAATTTGTTTCCATTCCCAACAAAAAAAATAAAATAATAAAATAAATCAAGAAAGCATCTATCTTTTGGTATTCGGTTGACTTTATTTTACATGAAAATTGCCAATTAAAGTGAAAATATTTGTTTACAATAATTCTTAGAATTTGTTTCCATTGCCAACAAAAATGAAAAATAAAAGCCGTGAACAGTGCCCCACAAAACCATGAAAAATACAATATCCAAGAAAAGCAAGAACCCAAATTTCATGAAAAAAATAGGGTATCAAACACTACAAAATGGGTGGAAAATGAAAATTCCATTTTCGATGGAATTGGCCCCTATGAAACATGGCCTAAGTAATTGATCACAGTTTCATAGATAATGGTGTTATTTGATTATAGTTACCTTCCATTACTTAATTACAAAACAATTATAGTAGATTGTTTAAATAAATATATAGGTCTAGCATAATTGTTGTGGATATGTAACTCTACAGCATTGTGTAGGTATTTTTCAATCCCAAAACCAATTAAGCAACAATAGAAAATTGAACGAACACCAAGACTTTTCGCCCGTGGGCTCGGATGTTCACCTACAAAGGGCTAGTCACCACGTTCTGCATCCATTTTAAGTGGTTATCGCTCCAATCCACTAGAACCAACAAGCTCAATTAGAGAGCAGAATCATCACAAAATATTGCAATCTATACTAGATCTCGCCAAGAATATCTAGAACCAGAAGATTACAGGCGAAAACCAAGAGTTTTCAGAGAGAATAAATAGAGAACATGACTAATGAAAAACCTTAAAAGTCTCTCGAATAATGGCACAGAAAGAAGAAGTCAGGGGATATAAAAGGTCACGTGCATCCAACGGTCCAACCATCAACAGGTGGCACGATCTCAACCATTCATCAAAGTTGGTTTTTAAATAATGCGAGATTGTGCACAAGGGGGCCAAAGCAGGGTCACATTCCATTTAAAAAGGGCCACAAAAATTGGGCTGCATCATTGGGCTTGTAACACAGAAATGTCAAGCACCATTCAACACATTGGGATGCTTATATGTAACTCTATAAATATTGTCAATATATAGAGCAAATTCATGACTTCTTAATTTTTTCCTCCAAATATTGGTATCATAGCACAACTCAAACGAGGAAACGATATTTAATCCTTCTTTAGCAATCATGGCTAGCCAAACAACTAGCTTTGTCTTAATCATCATCACTAGAGCACCATCACCGCTACGACCACCGTCACTGCCTCCATTAACTCTCTTTTTCTGGTCATACGGCCCATTATCTCAACCCTCAACTATATTCTTCTTTCGGGTTTTTTCTTTCATCTTGATTGATATCTCTTCTCAAATTCATCTAAAAATCAACAATATAAACTATCCTTCATGATGTCTTCAATTTTGTTAGAATTTGGATGTAACTCGAATTCTTTGCTAAAGATAATCGAGAATTTTAATTAAAGTGCACATTAAGAGAAATTCTATTTAGATGCTTTTGGAATTCTATTTGAAGTCTATTTTGACAAATTTTAATTGATATTCTATTTGGAAGCTCTATTGAGAGTTAAAATTTATGTTAGACTTAAAGAAATCAAGATAACAAAATTTTTGGATATCTATTTCATCTACAACAATATTTTAGGGTTTGGATTATTCCCTATAAATAGTTGGCTCTTCATTATGATTTAGTAAGAGGTTAGAAACATTGTTAACACATAATCTTTGTATTCTTTCTCCATATTATAATAAAATCTCCATTGTCTACAAATTATTTTATTCTTGTGTTCTTGTGATCAATTACTTCATATTGTGGTTTAATCTTTTATTTTCTCCAACAACTTGGTATTGGATTAATCCAGTATCATCTTCTGCTTTTCATAACAAACTGGTATCAAAGTTGTTCCACTTTTAATAAACTGGTTTCAAATTTGGTTTGAATTATAACAAGTGGTATCAGAGCCTTTGGTGTTGAAATTCTTGGGAAGATTGAGAGATTGATCAAGTTAATACATCAACTTGATCTTTCATGATGGCAACAAATGAAGTATGATATTCTGTTATTAGCTCGCAATACTAGATTCTTTTTGTGGCAGCCAAAGATGGGAGTAGTACTCACTCAGATGAATTTAGACGACGCGTTGTTGGAATTTGACAAGATGCCAACAACTTGGACTATGGAGGAGAAACAATGGAGGGATCAAAAGGCCTAATCTCAAATGCATCTTCATCTTTTAAATAATATGCTTCAGGACGTTTTGAACGTGAAGTCTGCATTATGGTTAAAATTGAAGCAATTATGCATAACGAAGAGTCTTACTAGCAAATTGCATCTAAAGCAATGTCTATATTCTTATCGTATGAAGGTACATCTCTTGAGAATCGTCTAACTGCTTTTAAAGAAATCATTGCTGATTTGAAGACCTCGAAGGTTAAATATGATGAAGAAGACTCGGGGATTGATTTTCTTATGTCCATTTCCCATCTCATACATGTTTTTTAGAGACACGATACTATACAGTTGTGATACTCTCACCATCGAATAAGTCTACGATGTTCTATATTTAAAGGAGAAAATGAAGCATTTTGTAGCATCTGAGATCATGGAGATAGTCTTATTGTTCATAGTGGTCGTTCAAGAGGCAAGTCAAAATCTAACTTCTATTTTTGTAATTATTGCAAGAAAATGTGCACTTAGTAAACGATTGTTATAAGTTGCATAATAAATCAAAATCAACGGCAAATCAATAATCAAAAACTTGAGGAGAAGCAAGTATTGCAAAAAATCTAGCAATTATAAAGAGCTTCTACTCATGTGAGACTACAACTCCAAACCTAATGAGGCTTGGATTTTTTTATACAATTTGCACTTTTCATATGTCACCAAATCAAGAATTGTTTTCAACATATAAAGAAATATTAAAAGGTGTTGTGATGACCGATAATAATACATCTTGTCGAATAGCTGGTATTGGTCGAGTTAGCATAAAGTTATTTGATAAAACACTGACCGATAATAATACATCTTGTCGAATAGCTGGCATTGGTCGAGTTAGCATAAAGTTATTTGATAGAACACTTGATGCAATGAGTCATGTTCCAAATTTAAAGAGTACTCTTGATTCAAAAGGGTACACGTACACTATTGAAGGTGAAGTCCTGAGGGTTATCAAAGTAGTCTGTGTTGTGCTAATGGAACAGAGAAAATTCCATTTATATATCTTGCAAGGTGATACAGGATCAATATATTTTAAGAACTTAAGTAGATTTAGAGCTAGCTTCTATACCATTGGAGTCTAATTTGGGATCTTCTTTTAAGAATACATTTCCGTGGAATTTCCAAGATATGGGTAAATCCGCCTTGCCACCATTGACTTCTTTTTTCATTCGATTGACCCCTAAAATTCTCGAATCTTCATTGTAAGGGTGAACACAACTTTTTAGTATTTGTACTTTATTCCTCAAACTTTGATTTTGCTTCATTTTAGACATTTTCTCTTGTTCATTTATTTTCTAATTATATTCAATTAAAGCCTTGACATCTTTGCTCTTCATTTCATCGCCCATATCATTTATGAATTATTTTCAACTTGGTCCCCATCTTTTGGATTTCACTCTTTCTGTGTTTTCCTTTTGTTTCTTGCAATTTCTTGTTCAACCATTGAGTTTACCTATTTAATACAAAAATACAACAATTAAAACATATTTCGTCATAGGAGCAACTAAAAATTATTATTTAAGGCTCTGAATAAGTGTATAAAATAATACACTTATCATCAAAAAAGCATTTAGCAAACATAGTTATTGGGCCAAATGGGCATAGCATAAGGTTCTTTCTAAACACGTTTTAGTGGCAATGTGGAAAGCTTTGTCAGGAAGTGTTAGGCCCTGTTTGCTTGTTAGAAATTTTTCATGGAAAATGGAAAATCAAGCCTATTTTCCATCTTTTGGCTATTTGATGCCCCTTTTTTTTTTCTTTTTTTTTCCAAGGAATTCATTTTCTTGGTTGTCTCATGAAGCAGCAATTTTCTAGGTTTTCTTGGAAATTGAATTCTCACCAATATGGTGAGAATTCGAATTCCAGGGCACTATAGCGATTTATTATTATTATTATTATTATTATTATTATTATTATTATTATTATTATTATTATTTTACAATAGAAACAAACTTTAAGAATTATTGTAAAAAAAAAAAATTCCTTTTAATTGACAATTTTCATGTAAAACAAAGTCAAACGAACACCAAAAGATAAATGGTTTTCTCTTCTTCTTTTTTTTTTTTTTTTTTTTTTTTTAAAATTTGGTGAAGTCCATTCTAGATAAGGTAATGTTTTTTAGGCCTCTTACCTTAACAAAATGGGGAGTCTTTAATTGACAATTTTCATGTAAAACAAAGCTAAACAAACACTAAAACATACTTTTATCTCAACATTTTTTCTGTAAAAAATTATACCAATCAAACACAATAATTTACAATTCCCAGAAAAATAATTTCTAGGTAATTCAATTCCCTGTAATTCGTTTTCTTTCCACCCAAATTTCATATTTGCAATCATACGTTCGCTTAGTGTTGATGAACGGATTCAAAAAGTTGGAGTTGCTATGGTTTCTCGGTGTAATTGTTACTTAGTCAGCCACGAGGAAAATTAGGATCATATTTTGAGCATAGGGGAGTTTGCCGATGAAGTTTGGAGGAGACTTTCCTCTGCTCTTGGAATTAGGTGGCGTTCGAAACAGGCCAATGCGATAGAATTAATATTTGGTGGACACGAGCAAGGATGTCTTCTCAGCTAGGTTGCTTACAAGGGTTAATACCATTCTTAGTGACTTGGAGATTATGGATTCGAAAGTATAAAGCTCAGATGGAGGGGATTTATTGTTATATATTTATGGTATAAATATAAAATATGAAAGAAATAATCAAATTAGATAAAGTGCCAAAGTGGTGGGAAATGTGACATTTGTGTTGGACGTCAGGGGTTCGAATCACTCCCCACGTAAATATTAAAATGTCTTGATTTGGGTCTTGGGGCCTTGGGCTCTTGAGCTTCCTTGACTAAAATAAATATTTTTTTCTTCATTATTTAATGGGTAAAACTAGCTAGTATTTTATGACTGTTTGTTTTTGTAACAACCCACTAACTGCCATTAAAACACCCACTACTCAGTCATTAAAATTCTGCATTAACATGGTGAAGACTGTTACTACCATCTTGCCTATATAAACCCATATCTTGCTTTGGGAAAAGACACACAAAAAGAAAATAGAATCAATCACTCTTTTCATATTGTGAATTTCTTATATTCGGGTTTTTATACCTATTCTGGAATACAATTGAGAGTTCTAGAAAAATCATTCGTGATTGCTACATAAGTGGTTTACGATCGTTGTATCCTGGGAGTGATTGTCCACGGAGGTCACAGCAATTATTGACGGGCAATTTCACTTTAGGACATCGTGCTGTCACGAGACTCGATCGATAAGTTTTATATTTCTGCATTATATTGTTCTGATCACTGCTGCAACTAATTATTTTTCCAACATTTATGAATCTGTTAAAGATGTTTTCCTATCTATTAAAGTTGGCTGCAACAAATGGGTGATAACATGAAAAAGGTATGTGTTCTTAGACGTAGTGATGAAAGTATTCTTAATGCTATGAATATACCCTGTGTGACCAGGAAAGCCTAACCTGTGCGTGAGATTTCTTGGCAAAAACCGAAGGCTTGAAGCGTAAAAATTAATGTAGATGGTAGTAGCATCAGAAACCCAGGTCAATCTTGAAGGGGTGGAGTGATTCGTAATGATCAAGGAATGGTATTGATGGAATTTGCCACAAGTTTTGGGATAGCGACAAATGAAGCACAGCTGAGAGCTATTATCGAGGGTGTTATACTTTGTCAAGCGTTGGGAATTTACCAGGTTGATATTGAATGTGATTCTAATATTGTAGTTGATTGGATGTTGAATCGTACATGTACCATTTGGTACTCGTAGGATTTTGGGAGCAGGTATTGAAATTAATGAGGTGTTTTGATATACAAGTTACAGACTAGTTCAGGGAAGGGAATCAAGAGGCAGATTTATTGGCAAAATTGGGTGCAGCAGGAGTATCGCAACGTTTTACTTCCACAGACTTGCCTATGTATGCTCGTGTACTAGTTCGGGTGGATCGATTAGGGAAGGTATATCAACGTAAATGAGTTATTAGGCTCGTTTAGTTTTGTTATCTTCGGTTTTGTTTATAGACATGTTTAGGTTTGTTTTCTTTGGTTTGTCGTTAGGCATGTTAAGCTTCTAATTTATTTATTTTTTGAAGTAATGCTGTTGATCGTGTTTCTAACCACGGTATTCCTCTACCACAAGTGTGGGTTTATTAAGTAACCTTTGGAGGCCCCGCCTCCTTTAATGTAAGTCAATAACCTCATAATTTATTGAAAAGAAACCGTCTTTCTTCTTCGATTTGAGAAAACTTCGAGAGTCGTTATCTCCGCTCAAACCCACAAGTTAATGTCGCAAGGACATTTAGAATTCTGGATTAGTTTACGTTCTTGTCTGTACTGAAGACAACAAGCTATATCACAATAGCCAATGGTATTAAGACGTTTCCCGAATAATTACTAGGGTCACCTCAGGAGGGAAATTAGTGTAGTTTTTAATATTCGATTGTGATTTCTTTGATGTTTAATAAGCAGAGTTTGAACATAACTCCCGAGACGTCCAAAGTAACTTTTGATGATGGAATTTATTAATGTGAACCAAAAGTAAAAAGGAAAGATAATGCCAATCAAAGGTAGTCAATTGATTAATCAGTGAGTTTCGAACTTGTTTGGCACTTATTTCTTAAAAACTTTTTTTTCGAGACACATTTTATGTGATTCACAACTTTTATTAATTTTTCAGTTATGAATTTTTATTAAAATCTACTAAATATATGATTTTTAGCAAATGAAATAGAGACTTAGAAACAAACTTTATTACACTGGAAGAGGTTTCTGTATGCTGATAGAAACTCTTGATAATACTGTTTCAAGAGGCACTGAAGACAGCAAACAACATAGGTACCCTAAATTAGTAAATTTTACACTTAAAGTTACTCTTTATTCTACTGAAACTTCAAAGCAACTCTCACTCGGTTATTTACATAGCTCTCACTCATGCCCTGTTTTCCCAGCCATTGTCCACTTTCCTAGCTTCCAATGCAGTAATGAGAGATTTTGAATCAGGATTTAGAGAGAGGTCCTCTTTTACTTTGTGGCTGTGAGGACAGTTGACCCTTCGACCTGAAATATTAACCACAGACTTCATCGATCAGCGACATTAGAATGAACCAATCTGTGGAGGAAATTTAAATCTAATTTCTAGTTTTGGATTCTTCCATTTCAGGAAAAAAAACTCTAAAAATTCCACTGGCTTCTCATTGATAATAAACATATTGTAATGTAATGTTGTCATTATCTGGCCAATGGGTCTTCTCTTCAGAATCATTTTATTGTCATGAAAGGGTTAATTTGTGATGTTAATTCCTGTTTGATTCTCAAATAAAGAGTACATTTTTTCAAATTCATTTATCCATAATGAAAGAGAAACTTCTTGCTTCCATCTCTTAAAAAAATTATGGCTGGCTTTCTGTTCTTCTAATAACACACAAAACTCGAACATCATAGCCAGTAGGTTTAGAGACGGCTCAAATATTATGCAGGGCCAAATGATTCAACGAATATATCTCTTTGCACATAAATTTGGTACACAGAACAAGTGGCTCGTATATAATGACAACGGATAAATCTCACCATAAACTTTGCTCCCCATATTTCTTCCTCAGTAGCAGGAACAGCAGTGATCTTGTTTTTAGGATTCTCATAGCTTCTAAGTTCTCCCACTGATGTGGAAAAGAAACATCCTGAAAAATCAACATTCACATTAGCAAGTTAATATAACAAGCAGTTTATGTTAGATCTGTGATTCAAATAGGAGTCTTGAATTACGTGTTGTTAGTGTTGAAAAAGAGTCTAACTGCATTCAACAAGAAAAAAATCCCGTTGAAATTGGATCTCCTAATTGTAATATATTTTCTTGCCTTTAAGGACTCTTCTAAGGTTTGAAACGTTGCCTATAAATACAAGATTCTTCTGTCAATTTTATTTAAACATTATTGTTATGTATGTAATTTCTCTTCATATTGTCAGTTTATATACATCGTTACTCTCGATTAATTCTCTTTGTTTATTTCTTTATTGTTAATCTTGTCCTCGTTGTGATCTTTATTACTTCACATCTTCATTAAATCTCATTCTTTACAACCCTTTGGGATCAACAGTTTATTTGTTATTTTTGGTGATTATTTACTTTACCCTCATGATCTAAAATAAAAAAAACATATTGCCTTACCTTGTGGGAAAGAAGCAAGTGACTTGCCACAAGCACCCTTGAGTAAATCAGCATCATCAGCAAATGCCACATATCCATCGGCAGTAATTCCCCAATAGAGAGGAACTTTGCCAAATTGGTCCTGTCCCAATAATCGAACACGAATTTGTTCGCAAATACTACTCAATCTATAAAATTTCAACTAGACCATCAGTAGGTGGGATTACTTACCGTAGCTACAAATAAATTAGAAGTCGACTTATCGAAAACTATGAATGCGAAATTCCCCTCAAGATGGCCAACAACGTGATTTGGAGGATAAGGTGCTCTGTCACGTAGTGCCTTGTATGCTTCAATCATCAACAGCACCTCATTTGCAGACTTAGAAAGCCCATAATGTTGCTTCAGACTCCCCAAGTTATCCAAAGATCCTTCGAACAAGCAGAATATTTCATCCTTGACTGCAAATGATCTGCCATATATCATCCATGGCAATTATCATGTGACAATAAATGCGAAAACATGAAGCTCCAGCAAAGTCATATATGTGAAAAAGTCGGGTTCCTTAAAACTTTATTGATTAGTACACCTGAAGCTTCAACAAAAGGTAAAGAGGAGCTTTATGTCCCAGATTGAGTGTGGACAAATCAATACCAGATTCTCTGTCTATGGCATTTTTCTTATGGAAAAAGAGTTGGCAGGTAGAGAGATTAGATTCAGTTCAGGGAAACCAAACTAAGAAAGCCAATGGGATATGATTTTATCACTATGCTATCCAAAATCAAACTTGGAGCGAGAATCAACATCATTACTTAGGGCTAGGTAAGATGACATCAACTGAAGATTTACAAGAAATAAAATCCTAGAACGTCTGTGGATTACAATTAGGTATCAAGTGAAGTTTCAACTACCTCATCCTTTTATATTCATCCCCAAGTCGCTAGAGTAAAGTAGTTCAAACGTCGTCCAAGAATTAATAATTTCAAGCAATTTGCATTCCTAAGTTCCAATAGGATTGCAGTTTACTACTCAACTTGGCTATTAATAATAGGACTAAATACATAATTGTTGAATATATGCATTCGATTTTAAGCGTCCAAAAAGTAACTGCACAAGTTTATAAACTGGTAAACCCGCAAAAGCCATGACCTTAGTCCCTATTGCTTTTTATTTAGCGATATTGTAGATTCAATGAACAAAGTAGGTGTTTGTTCGTATCAATTTGTTCTCCATTTAGGAAACAAAGTGACCTAAAATCTTGCTTCCTTTGATTCCATTGTCCCGACTTTTATGGGGTGTGTTAATTGTATTCTATATTTGACTCGGTACATTATGTTCACTGATAAGGAGGATGCCTACTGATAATAAATTTACGAGTGATATTACTCAGTATCACTGGTATTTAGTGAGGTGATAACATTGGTATCATTAAATTATAGGATTTATCTACTTGTACATTATGGCACCCATTATGGACGCCATAATGTACACCTAGCATCCTCCTAAATTATAAGGCTATGTTTGATAGCCCAAAATTTTCCATAGAAAATGGTAAACAAATTCCATATCCCATTGATAGCTAAAATTTTCCCACCAATTCATTTTCCACATTCCCCTCACACGATCACAATTTCCAGGTTTTTGGGGAATTTATTTTCCCATATAGTAGGTGGTTTTATGTTTTCCACCTTTTTTTTCTTATTTTTGCCAATAGGAACAAATTCTAGGGACAATTGTAAAAGAAAACATCCCTTAAATTGACAATTTTTATATAAAATAAAGCCAAACGAACACCAAAATATAGATGATTTTTGAATTTTTTTTTTATGCAATAGAAATAAATTTCAGGAACAATCGCAGAAATATATATCTCTTAAATTGACAATTTTAATGAAAAACAAAGCCAAACGAAAATCAAAAGACACTTTTATTTCAACATTTTTTAGGTGAAAATTTATATCAATCAAATACTATTAATTGACAATTCTCAGCAAAACAAATTCTAGGAATTTCCCGAAATTCGTTTTCTTTCCACTCAAATTATATCTTTACAATCAAACGGATCATAAGTTCAGTTAAATACAATGATTTATTAATTAGGATATACGATATACGGACATCTAGATTGGTCATAATGTGACGAGCCATGTCTGTGGGCCTACTTTGCCGGGGCTAGCTGCGTATAGAATGTATCAACATAATTCTAGTGTGTGCTACAGAAGAATCATTGATACAGACACCAATACGTGGAACCCATGCAAGAAAAGTTCAACCCATAAATTCCAAATCTTGAACAGTTGGACCTCGAGATTCTTTATATCATTACTTCCGAGGCCCAACTCTCTTGAAGAAGATGATTATACAAATAATAATAATAATAATTAATCACCCTTTTTTTGGCCGATCATCTAATTGTAAAAAAAAATGGAGGAATCAAATTAATTGATTGGACGATTAAGAAGTCCCTACTTAGTCCACCCCTACGACGGCGGAAAATCAAGGGAAAACCCCCCATGATTTTTTCCCTTTTTCCTCCTGTGTTTTGTCATGCACTGGAAAAGAATTGCTACCTGGTTTCTTTCATTTTAAAGGCAGAAACCCACTAGTAAAGATTGAAAATTTTATGAAGCTTAGCATTTGAAATTTTGCTACAGGAATGTTTTGGAGGTGAAATACAAATTTCTTGGTGAAGGAATTTTTAGAAAGATGGCTTCAACATCACTATCTTTAAATCTCCAAAAGTCTTATTGTCTCATCCATCCCAGCCGTTCAATTCCTCAACTCTGCCTCCACCAATCCTCGTATCCCACCTCAATCACCCTCATCGTCCAGCGTTGAGATCTGTTGTCCAAAATTAACTGTCCAACTTGCTGTACACCAATAATTCATTAACACATCAGTTTACACCGATTTTTAAGCATAAGTGGTAGTTGGAGAATAATTGGGCATGTTAATGCGTCAATGAATCATTAGATATGCAGCAAGTTGAACAGTCAATTTTAGACTGCAGATCCCAATTCCACCTCCCATAGGCATCAGCACCACTATCGCTTACTTAACCTTCTGCACCACCACAATTTTGGACTTGGTTTATTGGTGGTGAATAGTGACGGTGATGATGAGTTCATTGATGATAGGCGAAGTCAAGACCATCGACTCCACCTCTGGTTTTCTTGTCGGCATTTTTTGGGATTTCCATGACCCAACCCTGACCCCATCTCAAATTTAATTTTTCAACCCAATCCAACTCAATTGAACTTAAAAACCAACCCAAACCGATCAATTTGGATTAGATTGGTCGGTTTGAGCAATTTGGGTTAATTTTGCCCTGCCCTAGGTGGAGGGGGTTGGAAGATGATGATTATAATTTTATTTTTTTACTTATTTTAGTTTATAATTATTTCACCAAATTGCTCCTTTAAATAAAAATAAATTAAGAGCAATTGTATTTCACCAATCCATCCAAAGGACTATTTGCGCTAAAATTGCAAATATTTGTTACAATTTGCACTATATTTGAAACGTTTGGACAGAAATGCAACAAGGCATAGGTTTCGAGCTATTTGCCCCAATTTCGCGACAAAAATAAAAATAAAAAAAATAAAAAACTAACAATTTCAGAAGTTAATTTTAGACTGTACGTCTGTACCAGATGTCCTGCATGAACATGCAAAGACGCATCAACGGTCAGGATTAAATACCATCACACTCCGTCGTTTTAATAATTACCTTGATTTTAAAGCAGACTGGTTGTGATGACTGTAAGCCAGCTGAACATGATCGCCGATCTGAACCGACACAGCCGAGGAATTGGCCTCTAAGAATCGGCCCACGAGCTTCGCCGCTGTGGCCTTAGGCGACGGCGTCCTGTTCCCCGCTGCCACCAACTCTTCCGGCGGAGGCATGATCGAGCTGCTAAACACTCCCAACATTTTCACACTACGTATAAATTTTCTTCTCTCTCACTCGGATTGATAAAGAGAATAGAATGAAAGAGTTTAGCTAGAGAGGGTGTGAAATTTATAGAAAGAGATGAGGGTATTTTAGTAATTTTGCAAAGGTTAGCGATGATAGCGCTTTGTGGGCCATATGTGGGTCCCACTATATTGATAATTGTCTGAAGTAAGAATCTGGGGGAGTTTTAAGTGGGTATTATTAGGTGAAACAGCGGCAAATAAAATATTTTTGTTAGATGGGAGATTCTCCAATTACGTCTCTTTTTATTTTTATGCTCTGTTATTATTATTATTTTTTTTTCCCCTAAAATGTGATTTTTTAATATACTTATTTGAGCATGGAATCAATAATTTATATGCGAAACCTTCAAGTTTTAGCAACTTGGCATTTTTAACTTTCAACTACGAATAAATTGTTTAATGAGAAGGGTTGGCTTGGCAATTGGCACGGCCACCCATTAGCTCGTGGGAGCTTATTCGTGGGTGGCTCGACTTATTTCACCACAAATTCATGAATTGAGTCGGACTCAAATTTCAATTAGGCAAGTTGAGTAAGACCGATAAAGTGGTAGGAAAGGTCCAAAGTGGCAAATAAAATATTTTTGTATCTATGGGAGATGGAGGGGATGTTATTAGGTGAATCAGAGGCAAATAAAATATTTTTGTTAGATGGGAGATTCTCGCATGTAATTGAAAATTACGTCTCTTTATTTTTATACCCAGTTATATATATATTTTTTTAATTTCTAAAATGTGATTTTTTAACAGAGCAGCCCTGAGATTTTTGAGGTCCTATCCAAATAATTATAATGAGGCCTTTTTAAAAAATCTTTTTACCAGCGTAAAAGGGTAAATAAAATTTATAATGAAAATTTAATGACTTAATTGCTATATAGGCAATAAATTATGAACCAAGGGATCAATTTTTTATTAATTATCTTTTACTCCAAGAACTTTTTCTCTCTTTCTTCATTTGGCAGCATTTCCTTTCAATCGTGCTACTGAAATTGGGAATTTTGATATGAAATGTCAGCAGACAACACTTGGCATTTATTCATTGAAAGATGAAAAATAAAATAAAAAATAGGTGAATCACAGCTCGCCATGTCAGCTTTATCAATATTTTCCGTCAAATTTCCATGTTCGAGTAGCTTAGTTTATTTTCTTTACCTTTCTCCCTACACTCTTTTGCCCTATTAAGTAAGTTTCACTCTCTATTTCCTTCCCTACCAAGTAAAATTCCATTTTCATTTTCATTTCCACCCTTTTTATTTAATTGATTATCTCAGTCCAATTATTTTTGCTATTATAATGAGGGAAAATGATTAAATGATATTCCATTTGGAATTGACAATTGAAGCTTAGCAAAAATTTATTGTGAGGTATTAATTTTCCACTTTTGGAGAAGCATCACAGGAGTTCGTCAACATGGTCATACATTATTAGCTGAAACTTCTAAAGATCTTTATGAAATTGAGAATTTCTGCTTTGAAAATGGTGAAGAAAATGCTTTTTCTTTTCTTTTTGTTCTCCATTTTTTTACTTCACTTTTATTGTAATTTTTTTTGGTGTTTATGCATTTATGATTGTTTTTTCATTCTGCCTTAGGTCATTGATTGCTTCATCTAACACCATGATTTTTTATTTTTATTTTTTTAAAGCCCCTTTAAGATTGGAGGTCCAAGACCATTGCCTTAGTGGCTTTGGTTCAAGGCCAAGTCTGTTTTTTAATATACTCATTTGATCGTTGAATCAACAATTTATTTGTGAAACCTTCAAATTTTAGCAACATGGCCGTTTTAACTTTCAACTACGAATAAATTGTTTAACACGAACGGGTGGCAATTGGCACGGCCACCCATTAGCTCGTGAGAGCTTATTCGCGGGTGGCTCGATTTATTTTACCACAAATTCATGGATTCAATAGAGCTCAGATTACAATCGAGCAACTTGAGTTGGACTGATAAAGTCATAGGAACGGTTCATTGATGAGTTTTTATATTTAGTTACCCTTAATTTCCTTATCTTTTATAAATATTTTCCTTTAAATTCTGTCTAAGCAAATCAAGAGTCTCTTGACCTGGCACATCACGAGGAGCCCATGGGCATAGTTGAGTCGAGCTTGGCACCTTAGTCAAGAAGATAATCGATGGATCGGCTCAATAGACCTGTTGTCATCCCTAATTAATAATGAACTCTTTTTTGCTCACTTAAATGATAAAAAGTCATTTATGTTCACAAAAGAGGTTATTCCACTATCAAATGAATCTAGCCTTCCTCTAAGACATTGCAAAACAAACAAGATAAAGCGTTATTGATGCCTCCACCTCGTAATAATGCCTACTTCATGTGCTTTTCTTTCCCTTTTTCTTCTTCCTCGTTACAATTGAAGTATCGACTTGCTTCATTTAAAAGAATTTAAAATTTCAAAATAAACATCATAACCACTTCAAACATAAAACGAAAAGTGGATCTCCATTATAAAATTGTAACTTATATATATTCAATTATTAAATAAAAAATGTTAAAAACCTTTTTTCTTTTTTAAAAAAGTAAAAAATATATATATATATATTATTTATTTTCTTGTCCAAGGTATAAGAAAAGATCTTATCTAGAAGAAATCCAACTCTTGTCAATTCAAAGAGAAAAGCTTATCTATTACTGGCATTTATAAAAAGTCGCTCATAGATAAAATTCAAGCCCACAAAAGCGACTTCTCCTGATCAAATTTAAATTTTAGGGTAATACCTACTACATTTTTTATTTATTACACCATATTTTTATTTCATTCAAGATTATCAATCTTTGTTTACTGTAATACTCATGTTCTTAATTTTATTTTTTACACAATCTTATTTCCAACATTTTATTAATTATTTCATCTCTTATGTATATTGATTTCTATCAATTAAGTCCGTTCGAGGACATAAAATAACTTATTTTTCAATCAAATAAATACGAAAGTGTGTCAAAATGTTTTTCTATACCTTCTTTATTAATATATAGTCTATTCAACGGGCTGTTATAATTTTAAAAGATTCTGTAATGAGATAATGACATGCTTCTTAGCCGCGGAAATGTCCCAATTTTGATGTGATCAGTAGTAGAATGATTACGTTAACTTTAAATAGCACGCTTGATTATTAAAAGAATGATTAATATATTTTCTTATAGCTCTTCAAATGATTATGCACAAAAGGCCTTAAATTATTTACCATAATTATTTGTATAATTCAATTTATAACACGGAATTGTTTACCTCAATAAAATGCCCATTTTCTTTCTTATTTATTATTTGTTTCATTAAAATGAGAATTCTAGCCGTTGCACACACAGATGGACCACACACAAGAGATGAGAAGTCAACAAAACTGACTGGATGTGATGGTTAACGATCAGAATTTTCATTATTTTTTTGTCTAATAATGTGCCTCAAACAGGCCCTTAAGATATGTGTTAGATATCTACTAATTTAGTCAACAATCAATTAAGCAAATCAAATCCTTCAACTGATAATGCAACAACAATTTATGCTTGCAAATTTTTATGTTCAATTTTAGTTAATTCAAATGTCTAAAAATGTTATATATTTGTTTGTATTCCCTCAATCTCTCTAACTTGTTACATGTAAAAAGTATATATACGTCACAATCGAATTTAAAGTGAAGAGCAAGGAAAGCTTATTCATCGAAAACTGTGATAATTCTGTACTAAGAGCATATTTGGTACAGATTAAAATCTGATTTTAATCTAATTTTCATCTCCACCAAACACCATCTAATTTTTCTTCTTTCTTGGTATCAAAGCCTAAAAGGACAAAGGCCGAGTCTTGCTAATACGCTTAGCATCAAATAAAATTCTCTATATAATTGCCTCAAATTCTACTCCCTCCGCCCTGTCTCAACCCATTGTCCCACGAAATTTCCAACATGTATCTCAAAAATTGGTCGGCCCCAACAACTTGCCTTGGTGCGTCGAATTCATGATCTTTCTGAAAAGCCATGACCTTGCTGATCTTGTGGATGGAGGTGTGTTCAAAGAAGATACATGTGTCCTAATCCAACTTAACCCGTGTGGTCCAAGAAGATACATGTTTCATAAGTTGATTGCTTGCTTCTATCAGAGAGAAGCTAGTCTCCATTGTTTATGGCATGAATGCCTCAAAACAAGTGTGGGATGCTCTTCAAACTCGATTTTCCTCTACTTCTAGATCTCGAATTATTCTGTTAAAGAGAACTCCAAACCATTACTCAAGGTCTAGAGTTCTTGCACCGATTTTTTGGATGAAGCAAAAAATTCAACAATTTCAATCAAATAATAGTGGAGAATACCTTTCCAACGAATTTAAATCTTTTTTAGCACAACATAGGATATTTTATCGATTAATTTGTCCATACACAAAATGACATTCGAGAAGGAAAAATATTGACATATTCAAGAAATAGGTTTAACTTTATTAGCAACAGCTAACATCAAACAAATATTGGGCAGTGTTGCCTCTACGAGCATGGATAATGATAAAGTAGGAGGGTTTTTTTATAAAGTATCGAAGGTTCGTATCCTCGTCATAGCTAGAAGGCAACATTTATGTTAGAAAGCAGATGTCCTATGAGCAAAGTCATGGTGCTCTCTTTTACCCAGGGGCGGATCTAGACTCCATGTTCAGTTAGGGCGTTGACTTTGACTTTGACCGTCAACCGTCGATCGTCGATAATCAATGTTCGTATTAAATTTTGATTAAATAATATTAAAAATTGTTTGATATATATGTAAATGCACTAAAATGTAAATATTATATTTGATAAATATGTGCTTTTTCTAGAGATAGAATGTCAGAAGCATAAGTTTGTTTTTCATGATCTACATACGTTGTTTATCTCAAACTCGATTTTCATATCATTTGAAATTTTGAAGCAATCAAAAATAATTAATATAAAGATTTAAAACATATGCACAATCACAAGTTTTGCAATACTATAATACAAAATTAAAGTTTCATTAATGACACTAAGCAGCCAATCTTGATAGAGTGTTCAAATTAACTTGGGA